GACGTCAAGGGGCGCGCGGTGGCAGCACCTCCCCGCGCGCTAGTTAAAAAGAAGAAGAAAAGAGGGAGCGAAACATGAGAGGCTGTGTGAGAAGCTGCAGCCGCCGGCAGAGGAGACCTCAGCATCATCTAGAGCCCAGCGCTGGCCCTGCCTGCGCCTGCCCCGCCGCCGCCGCCGCCGCCGTTTCTGTTCCTGCTACTGTCTCACCTAAACAACTCCCGTTACACGGACAAGTGAACCTCTGTGGCCGTCTTCTCCTCCTCTTCTTCCTCCTCCTTTTCCAACTCCTTCTCCTCCTCCCACTTCCCAGCCGCAGCAGGAAGCCCCTAACCCAACTGACACTGGCACAACTGCAAACGGTGTCATCCGCACAACTTTATCTTGCTCCTCGGACTCCCCTAAGGCATTGGACCCATCGCCTTGTCTTTTATTTTTTGCAAAGTTGCATCGCTCTACATAGTTTCGCCCCCGCCACCACTCTCTGCCTCTCGAGTGTCCCCCGCAGCCTCCTCCTGGAGCTGCGCCCTAGTGCCCCTGCTGGGCAGTGGCGTTCCCCCCCATCCTCCCGCGCCGAGCCCCTGCCGCTCGGGGCAGACGATGCTGAAGATGCTCTCCTTTAAGCTGCTGCTGCTGGCTGTGGCTCTGGGCTTCTTTGAAGGAGATGCTAAGTTTGGGGAAAGAAGCGAAGGGAGCGGAGCGAGGAGGAGAAGGTGCCTAAATGGGAACCCCCCGAAGCGCCTGAAAAGGAGAGATAGGCGGATGATGTCCCAGCTGGAGCTACTGAGTGGGGGAGAGATGCTGTGCGGTGGCTTCTACCCTCGGCTGTCCTGCTGCCTGCGGAGTGACAGCCCAGGGTTGGGGCGCCTGGATAACAAGGTAAGCATGCACCCGCCTCACGGATGCCTGATTGACGTACTGGCGAGGTGGGGGTTCCTCGTGGCTCCAGAAATGCTGGTGGCTGTGAAAAGGGCGAAACTTGTTTGGAGAGTTCTTTTTGATAACTTTCCTGAAGTGCTAGTGTGATTCGGTTGTGGTGTTTCTCTGGGGTGCGCAGATAGCTCTCCCGCCCCCAAGAGTCCGCGGTCGGGATGCTGTGCAAAACTGCCTGTCTCAGAAAAGAGAAGCTTCTGTGGTACCCGCATTCTGGGCTGGGTAAATATTTTAAAAGAATCGCGATTAACAGTGTGTTTTGGATCGAATCGGGCATTGGCTGCGGTGAAACTGTAAATTAAGGTGGCTGTGGTTTCCGGTTTATTTTTCTAGGGTAACAAGATTTGTGCAGTTTTCTCCACGTGCTCGGTTAGGGAGAGGATTGAATCGTAAAGGATGTTGAAGCATGGTTGGTTTAGGAGCCCCAGCCCCGTCAGAGGGGGTTGTCTCGCATTACAATAGTTAAGCTGCGACAAGGAACTCCTGGTACTCCGATTGAGAACCCGAAGGACGGGCGAAAGATTTTGCTGGGGCATATTTGTCACATAAAACTGAGACTCTTCTCTCCGCCTCAGTTTGTAATGTTTTGAAACATTATAAATTCGGGCTTTCAATGGCAGCTGTCTAGGAAGATCCTCTCTGGAAATTGGTTTGAGGAGTAATGGCATTTACACTTTCCTTGTGTTCTTAAATTTAAACAAATATGAAATAGTGTTGGTGGAGTGTAAAGGCAAGCTTATTTTTGAGTTTGCAACATCTTTCTTGTCATGGGATGCAGCAACGTGTGCTCTCTACTGTACTGCAAGGAAGCCCGGGAGCACGTCATTAACAATCCCTGCACGTGAAATAAACAATCAGGTGTCTTTGCTCCCCCCTCCCTTTCCCCATTTTAGGTTTAATTAAGAATTCCTCTGTTACAACAGTGCAGTTGTCAAGGTCTGAGAGACTCTTGGAAAACTTGTGCTTCAGTCTTGCTGGCCCAGGCATTAAAAAAAAAAAAAAAAATACCCAGGCTGAATCTAATTTTTATGCTCAGTTCACGGTAGATTTCACTCTATTCTCATGTAAACAGCTCCTACGAATCAACATATGTGTCTGGGTGGTATCTCTCACTTTGTTTTGTAACAAAAAGCCATATTGCATCATTTAATTTGCTCAAGTCATGCAAATAGGAAAAAATCAATAGGACAAAAAGGGGTCGACTTATCCTCCTCCCCACTAAACTGCTGCCCACACACAGAGTCCTGTTGCTTATGGCAAAAGAATAACAACAACACCATTGTGTTTGTTAGTTGGTTCACTAATGGGTGAAACTAGAGAACATCATTCTCTTTCAGTCCCCAGCTCTGTCCAAATGTTCATGCCTTTTGAGGGAGCATTTGTCCAACTCCCTCTATTCCCAGATGAGTGAGAACTGTCTTGCTGCAGGTTTTCAGCTGCAACTCTCTCTTTATTCTTACCATATGCAGCAGTAGTCTGAGATTCAGGGAACAGATATTCCAGCATTTTATTCAAAACAATGTCATTAAGCTCCTGTATGGTAATTGAATTAAATTACAAAAAAAAAAAAAAAAAGCTACATTCACATCATCAGCAGGGTTTTACCAGGAGCCCAAAAGAACCAGGAAATTCATAGAAGTGTTTAGAAATATTTGCCATTAAGTCTCCCTGTGTGCAGTGTGCACTATGAATATACCAATGATCTGCAGACCCCTGCAATACTGAACTCTTCCAGGAACATGAGGAATGAAAACTTTGTTAACTAAATATAGTGGGGAGTTGGAGGGGTTGGGGGAGGAACTGAGGGGAGTTATAACCCCTAAGAGGAGTTATATAAATTTTTTTTTAAGAAATCATTCTTTAGGAAGAAATCTGCCACGTTAGCTATCCACATTCCTTTCCGTTTTACGTGCTTCCAATCTCCAACAAACCCCTACTCATTTGGAAAATGTGTCTGAATTAAATTTGGTACACTAGACTTTGCTGGTTCCATTACAAGTGCTTTATAAAAAACCAACAATACTCAAATTGTTCAAAACAGAGTAGTGATATAGCTGTGCATGTGCATGCTTGACCTATGTTAGTTCTCACGTTTTAATAGTTTTTAAAACATGTTATTTTATAATAAACTTCAGTGTTTCCCTGTTTTCCCCTAAGCCTTTCTGGCTTATAATATATGTTAGGGTCTTATTTCATAATGTGTGTACAGGAGAGATAATGGCTATTTGAAAGGACCCGTTTTTGTTTATGAAAAAAAAAAAAAAAATCCCAAGAAGCATTTCTGCAACTTTTCAAGAAACTACAGGCATAGCTTTCTCCTACAGGAAGAAACTTCATAGATAGTAGCACACTAGGTAGGAATATTGAGCATGCTCAACTGTGCAATTAAATCCAGTTTCCAAGCGAACACATTTTCTTTAATATAATGAGCTAGCATTGAGTTCAATCCTTCAGCTATGGTATCATGCTTTTATATTTTAATTTTTTGGTATATTTTAGTAATTTTATGTATTGTAACGAGATTATTAACTACCATTATAAATAAATGCTGCCAAAATTTAGGAAGTTATATTGTCTTGGCAATATTTTTGCAGCTCCTAAATACAACATGCTAAAAGGATCTAATTCCCATTAGTCAAATTGAATCCGCAGCCAACTGAAATACCCCCATTTCTAAAACTTAACTTGTAGCCAGAGAGGCATAGAAGCTCTCTCTACCTTGGGTGGTTTCACAGCCAAAGCTGTCAAGGAATGGGTGAAAAGTAATTGTTTTCAAGTGTGCCCTTTTACAATCATTTGTTTGCTCTGGCTCTTTCAGGGACAAAGGCTATTGTTGAACACATCCAACTAAACAAATAACTCATCCTGGGGTCCCTTTAACAGCTGCCTTAGTACAATGATCTATTTACATATTAGCCTAAAATTGAAACTGAACTCTTTAATGACATAATCCAGCACTATAGTCCAGAGACGCATGTGTTCTAGCCAACAGCTGAACAACCTTGTAGGCATATGATTTTTAGAAATAACTTTTTGTGGACCAAGTGATCTTAAGGCGACATCTTAATATACTGTCACGTATTTTCTCCTTTTGTCTGCTCATTGAACCCATGTGGGTGCCTTTTTATCCTCTTTGTTCAGTTACTTGATAAATAAAGAGAAATACAGAAGGTCTCTGTCACCCATTTTACTATTTGTTGATAAGCTATAGTTGTAGGCCACACTTCACTGTGTATTCCAGTATTTATCTTACCTTTCTTCTATGGATTTTACTTTCTTGTGGCTTAAGATTAAAGGATGACCTGCCAGATGTTATAAATTAGTCAGCAACAGCCACAATCATTACTAGGCATGCTGTAATAATGTTTCGAAGTTTTACATGACTTTCAAAGTATATTTAGTTTAAACCACTATAATTTGATGGTTTCATATATGGCTTTTAAAAATCGAAACAGGAAATTAGCTTAAATTTCTTCTTAAGATTGATGACATTGTCAGACATAAAGTTAAGGACCTTTATCGACACAAGCACATAGGCAAAAAAAGAAGAAAAACTACACTACACACACCAGGACTCATCTGTCTAAAACAGTGTTGCAGCTTGGGCTGAGTCAGTTTAATTGACTTCAGTAAGACTATTGGTTCATTGAAACCAAAGCCAGAATGATGGCTCTATCTATCTTCAAATAGGTATTTACACTGCAGACCTCACACAGAGCAAAATGTTACCATCCTGCTGGGCCGGAACAGCATGAAACTTTACAAAGAATAATATTGTACTCGATTTCAGATAATTTATTGAATCCTATTTCTGAAACTTTTGATGAGAGATCTTGTGGCCAGGACA